CATGATCTTCTTGATTCTGGCCAATGGTAGAGAGTGTGGTCCTGTCCTTCCTGATATTCCACCACACAGTAACCCTGAATATGCACCTGCTTGTCTCTTGTTAATTTTTGGTCTACTTCACTTCTATATGTTTATGCTTTAACTTCAGCTTTTGTGGTCTTTCAAATATTGTGTTGCAGCATTAGTGTCAAGTTGCAGTGTTATATATACCAAAATTTTCTGTAAAGCACGCCATATCCAAGTTGAAGCTTTCACTCCAATGACATGGTCGGCCAAGCCTGCTTTGCCGGCTAATTGAAATTCAAATAAATAAATAAATAAAATATTTTATATTAATTAGACTCTTTGATTTCAAGATTTTTTTTTGGTTGTATTATCTCTTATTTTTTTATAAAAAAAATAAAATATTTTTTATTCTTATTATAAGAAATAAACGATAAATTAAAAATATATTAATTGTTAAATTTTTCTTATACACTTTTTTTATTAGTATTATTAAATATACAAATTATTAATTATATTATTTAATATCATAAATATTCTTAAAATAAAATTTATATTTATAAAAAATATAACTAATTTAATTATTTTTTTTAGTCTTAATATTTAATTTTTTATTTCTCGTAAAAAGGATCAAAACTAGTATTAAATTTATTGTTTTCTTTTTGTGAAACATTAGAAAGCATAAGTAAAAAAGTATGTAATCTCATCATGCTTATCAACAATGACAAGCTCTGATTTCTAATGTTTAGCAACTTGAAAGGAAGGATCTAAATAAAAAAAATGTTTACTCACCCTTTTTTTTTTAATTAAATATGTATACTTTGAAAATTCATTCGTTAATTCAAAGTACTGTCCATGATAGTATTAATAAAATAAAATAAAATAATTTGATAGCTTCTTTCTATGCTAACATTTCGACAGAGTAATGTACTGAATTATCTGCTAATTGCATATTATATTTCATATTTTGTTCATATTTTAGTCATATATTCGGCGAAAAATAAAAATTGCCACCTCATTAGGGGAAGTCAATGCAATATATGCAACCAGTTCTTAAGTTAAAGATGTCCAAGTCATCATTTCTTAAATATTGCAGAATCAAACAAGAAAACACTTTTTCTACATTTTTTTTTTGTTTACTTGGTCATCGATTTCGTTTTCAACGTTGCATTATCAAGTCCATTTATATCTAGATACAATTAAATAAAAATTTTAATTAATTAATGATTTATTAAATAAATTTATAACGTTATTATTTCTAAGTTTGAATGTAAAATTTAGTAAAATAAATTTAAAAAGTCAGTGTGTATTTTATTCAAAGTTAACTAAGGTTCCATTCAAATGAATGTGAAATAGAGAATTTTTTAAAAAAGAAAAGTAATAATAGAGTATGAAATAGAATAAAATATATTTGATGTTTGGTTATCTTAAAATAAGAGGAAAAAAAATACCCAATAAAGAGAAAGATGAAGTGGACTGCATTTAATTCTATGCAATTAAGTAATTAGCTGAAACTAAAAGTAAAAATAATAATCAATCAAAGTGATAGAAAAGGATATTATATAGGTATGACTTAAATTTTAATTTCAAGAAGTTAGTTGTTCACTAAGTATTGATCCGTTATTTGTTAAATAATTTTTTTATTTTTGGTTCAAGAAAGGGGAGTGGCAATTGAGAATGGGAGATAAAAATGTGATTTTTTTGGGTTTGAACTTTGATTCTTATATTTTACGTCTCTTTACTTTACCACTAAATTATCTAGAGAGAGATTATATGTGTAAAAATTAATTTCAATTAATTTACACTGCAAGATTGAAAATATAAATAATGTAAGAAAATGGATAAAATTATAAAGAAAATCAAGTTGGGCTATATATATGTTACAGGAAAAGGAAAATAAAGAAAATGAATTAATTAAATATTAGAAGAAATTATAAATAAAATTTACTTTAAAATAAGCAAGGGATATTTGAGAAAAAGTAGAATCATGTACGTGAATGAAACTTAAAAATACTTCTTGGGCCATTGAGTCTATTTATAATATTTTGGGCCATTGAGCGCATGGATTAATGCTTTGACTACATAACTATGTTCTGAAGATAAACTTGGTCAACATAATAAACAAACCTAGAAAAATTCACTGATGGATGATAGAAGCTTGAATAATAAATTGTGAAATTACTGGGTGATTATCCATATGAGAAATGTGAAGCTTGCGTTTAGTACTGAGAAATAGAACAATTTAAGTGGACAAAAAACCTTGGAGATTTTACATGTATGTCATGCAGTATGAGAAAGAAAGACATGTACCTCTATAGATTTTACGTTTTTGACATGGCCCATACAATAACTGAAGAAGATTCAAACCTTTTTCTTAGCATTCCATTTGATTGATAAATAACCTGTGTGTATTAGACTAATAATAGAGTTTTGAAAACTTGAAAAAAATGAACTTCTCATGTAATGAAGCATTGGAAAGGGTGTACTTGCAAACAATATAAAGATAAGATTAAACTTAGATGCAGTATTGTTGGTGTTGTTTTTCGATTAGAGTTAAGAGTTTTATTCCAATAATCTGTGTAGTAAAAATCGAGTTCAGCACATTAATATAAAAGAATGGCTACACCATCCACATATCGATCCTTGCTAGTTCTTTAGTGATCAACTATTCCACTTCTAGAGCAGCATCTAGGGGTGACATGGTTTAATTACTTTGAGAGCTTAGGATTAAGGATATAAAATATTTGTTTTATTTTATACCTTTATATATAATTTATTCCTCATGTCTAACTTTGAACAGTGACAATCCTCTTCTATTATAGGGGTTTCTTGGAGAGAGTTACTTTTCACCATATATTTTAAATAAGAAAAATATTAATATAACTGAGGTTAAACAATAAAAATAACCATTCAAAAATTCAAAAATAGGAAGTGAAAAGATTCAAATTTTTTAGAAGATTCAGACATAAATACAATATTTCTAACATGTTATAATAAGTATTAGAAACAAGTCTAAAAAAGTATATAACATCTAGTTAACATGTACACATAGTATGTGAGTATATATAGAAATATAAATTATTTAATCAGTTTTGTGAACTTTAATCTTTAAAATTAATTTTAAGTATTTTAAAAAAATATCAAACAAAAATAATATTCATTATAAATTTTATTTTCAGTATAAAATTTTTTTCATACACTTTAATAAATTTATTTTGACTTTGTCATTTTATAAAATAAAGGGGCAATTAATATATTTTTTTTAATTTTATCTTTAACAATTAATATTTATTCACAGAGGATGATAAATAAGATATTGATTTATGTATGTGAAGAGTATAATAAAAAGTTAAATGATATTTTTTTTTATAAAATTTAGAATATTAATTCGATAAATGTTAACCTCATATAGTTAAAGAATACAAAAATGTAAAAAAATATTATTAATACTTCTTCTCTCATGATTTTTTATTTGCATATTTTAAAAATATTACCAATTTCTTAATTAGTATTCTTAGGACAGTGATTCCCAAGACTCGATTAACTATTTTCTTATATAAATTTTAAATGTGAAAAAAATATTATCTTTAACTTTAGAGTTAAATTTAAGTAATTAATAGTAATAATATTTTATTAGAAAATATATTATAGTTTATAATTTTAATATAACAAATTATAAATATATATTTTTTATTTTTATTAAATACTTTAAGTTACTCTCATAACTTTCCTGCAAACCCGAAAAAATAGTGTTAAACTTTCAGTAAATATTTCCTTTTATGAATGAAAATAAATTATTTTATCTTTAATATAATAATTTTTTATTTTTAATATTAAAAAGAAAGTAATTACTTAAAGTTTAAATTGTGGTTTGCAAGATATTTAATAACTAGAAACGAAAAAGTCTCATTCAAGAAGTGGTTTATGCGAAGAAACCACTACCGATCAAACCGACCAAAATCGTCTTTCTACTGTTAAATCTCTCTCTCTCTCTCTCTCTCTCTCTCTCTCTCTCTCTCTCTTCACTGATTGACTATTGTTTCAAGTTAAGTCAAAATAAAATTAAAAAATAAAAACAGGTAACCAAAAAAATGGTTAACCTCAGTTAATAAACATTTTAAAATAATTATTTATTATATTAAAATTATAAAAATATGATAATAAAATTGTATTATTATTAGTTAATTAAATTTTATTCCAAAAATATAAATTAGTATTTTCTATATAAAATAAACATTTTATTAATTAGTATCTCAAAGATATTGTTTAAAGAATTAATAAATAATTTTTTTTCTTAAAAAGCATGTTGAAATGCTTTAAAAATAACAGAGTAAGTGCCTAGTTACGTTTTTAACAATAATAATAATCTAATTTTAAATTTTTAACAAATGTTTTAAAGGATTTTAATTTACATTTTTCAAAAAATAAGTATATAAAAAATTTATTTAAAAATATCATATTAATGTTATTAATATTAAATTAAACAACTTTAGTAAAAATCAATTATATATAACTTTGGTTGTATGTTTTAAAGTATAAATTAAAAAAAAACCTTTTTGAGGAATATTTTAACAGTTAATACGTGATCTTTTAGTAATTGTGCATACTCTATAAAGTCAGGAATTGCTAGATTTAAGAAATATCTGAATTGGTGATGATCAGATAGCAGGGAAGGCCGAATTTTGCCAAACTGACTTGACTGCTTCTCTCTTCCATTAACCTTTCTTTTTCTTTAAGCTTAATATTACCATGTTAAGCCTGCTTCAATGTCCACTCCTCTTAATTAAATCAATTCAAATTAAATCATAATTTGTAATTTTTCAGCTAATTCAAAATAAAATTTAGTATAATAGAATAACATTTTTCAGCTTATTCCATAAAAGTTTATCAAATAATAATTTTGCATAAAAAATTATTAAATAAACTTTTATTTAAACTATGTTGTCAATCACATGCTTTAGTAGGTTTTGAGTTTTGACTAGGGAGTCTCAAGTCTCCAATCACTATAGTTGCTTAAGCAATGTTTCAACGGAAACCACCCTTGCAAATTGTTCTTTCCCACTCCCACTGAGCCTACCTAAAAGCATTGCTGATCTTGCTACCTTTCTTCTCTCCAATAACATGTCTATGAGACGTTGAACACTCATAGAAAGTGCACCATTCTGCTCAAATCTCTTATTTATACTTCCTTTATAATTGTCACAACCACCCCCAACATACGACTGTTTGATTTATAACAAGTAACATTCTTTTCCACAACCAACCTCGCAGGTTGCATTAAATTATTACTAAGGATATCTTTTTCTATTATTTGTTTGTTTATATGCCAATCGTATACACTAGTAACATGTTCCCTTAGATGCAGTAAAGCATCATGGTCTGTCCTGTGTTCACACTTCACAAACACATTCTAGATTGTTTTTGCCTTTTGGTCTATCAATCCCCATATATGTACGTAGCTACAAAGCATAGTTCTTGGAAACTCACAAGTTGAGGAACGTTATGTCTTTCATGTGGATCATTTTCCTTTGTTATCATACACTTGTGTTTCTTTCTCAAATTTCCTTGGCAGTTGACTCCGTTTCTCAAGACTCGTTCCTAAGTGATGATACTAATAACACCTTAGTTTCCAAAGATGGAACCTTTGAACTTGGATTCTTCACCCCGGGAAATTCTCAGAAACGTTACCTGGGAATTTGGTACAAGAAAATCCCAATTCAAACTGTTGTTTGGGTTGCTAATAGGCTCAATCCAATCAATGATTCATCTGGCATGTTTAGATTGAACACTAGTACTGGAAACCTTGTACTCACTCAGAATGACACTGTTGTTTGGTCTACAACTTCTCAGAGAAAACCAAAGAGTCCAATAGCTCTTCTATTAGATTCTGGCAATCTTGTGATAAGAGATGAGAATGATGCAAACACTGAAGCCTACTTGTGGCAGAGTTTTGATTACCCAACTGATACTTTCTTACCAGAAATGAAGTTTGGTTGGGACTTGAGAACTGGTCTTAATAGGCAACTAACAGCTTGGAAGAGTCCTGATGATCCATCTCCTGGTGATTTCTCTTTTGGTATGGTGCTTCATAACTATCCTGATGCATATATGATGAAGGGCAACCAAAAGTTCTATAGAAGTGGACCATGGAATGGCTTGCATTCAAGTGGTTCACCACAAGTAAGGTCCAATCCCATTTATGATTTCGAGTTTGTTTACAATAAGGATGAAGTTTATTACACATATAGCCTTAAGACCTCATCTGTGATCTCAAGGATAATACTGAATGGAACAAGCTATGTTCGAAGGCGTTATGTGTGGATTGAATTAGAAGGAAGGTGGGAGGTCTACACTTCAGTGCCATTGGACTTATGTGATAGTTATGCCCTTTGTGGAGCATATGCAAGTTGTGTTATTTCAGATTCACCAGTGTGCCAATGTTTGGAGGGGTTCAAGCCTAAGTCACCTCAAGCATGGAACTCCATGGATTGGTCTAATGGATGTGTCCGCAATAAGCCATTAAGCTGTGAGGACATACACAAGGATGGATTTATCAAATTGACTGGCCTTAAAGCTCCTGATACTACACATAGTTGGTGGGATCAGACAATTGGTTTAGAAGAATGCAGAGCCAAGTGCTTGGAAAACTGTTCTTGCATGGCTTATGCAAATTCAGATGTTAGTGGACAAGGGAGTGGCTGTGCCATGTGGTTTGGAGAGTTAATTGATATTAGACAGTTTGCAGCTGGAGGCCAGGATCTGTATGTTAGAATGGATGCTTCAGAGTTAGGTAGGAACTTGGCCTTGCCACTTTTTAGTCGTTCAAAAAATTTTCTTAGCTAGAATGCATTTTCATATTTGAATATCTGAGTGCCCTTTATAAATTTGTGCTCAAATTTAATTAGGACATGCCAATGAGGGCCACAAGAAGGGGGGAGTCCTGGTGGCAGTGACAGTTTCTTTGGCTGTGGTAGCCCTTTCTGGTATACTAATACTTGGTTGGTGGTATAGAAAGAAATCCCACACCAAGGTGAAAGGTAAAATTCACATTTCTGTTTCTCTTGTCAGAAGGGGAAAAATGTCTATATAGCTTTATTAAAGGTCATGGTTTTGTATTAGATGTATACATATTATTTGACAACCATATAATGGTCCACAAAACAAAACAAAAAATTGTAACAGTGTATAGGTTCATTATTGCCAACTTGGATCAACTTCTTTGGTTAGTAACTGTATGATATATGAGAAGTTTGTGAATTCATATTAAAATAACAAGTTTTACAGGTCCTGAAAAGTCATGACAGACACTTGTTCTGAATCCTTCCTTGAATGAAGTTTTGACACATCATGACAGTCACTTTCATGATTGCAACCAATTGACACATCATATTATCCGCATGATTTTTTTTGTTTTTTCAACTATGTATGGCTAATGTGTTGGAACAGGGAAATTAGCATGAACTTCTAATTGATTGTCTCAAAATTAACTTAATGAACTTGTTTTCAGTTTAATAATTCCTTGCATTCACATGGAGGTACTAGTACTCTTAATTCCATTATTACTTCTTTACATTGATTTGGGGGAGGAGGAGTTAATGGGAATATCTCATTAGTAGGATATAGAAATTTCTCCTTTTATGAAAAATGAAATTTTTGTCCTTTCAAAATTAAGAGAAATGTGATGTAGTGCTTATCACAATCCGAAACTTCCAACTTATTCTATGTCAGAGAAATCAGATTTCATTATCAAAGCAGATCAAAACAGTGGAATGCTTGTGGATGATATGGATCTTCCAGTCTTTGAATTATCAACAATAGCCAAGGCAACTAACAATTTTACGATCAACAACAAAATTGGAGAAGGTGGTTTTGGACCTGTATACAGGGTAATTTTCTTATAGATTATTATAACATTAACAATTGAGGAGCAAGAATATGAAAATGAACAATTCTATCAAATTGTCATGAAAATTTAATTGTTTAGGGAGCTCTAGCAGAAGAGCTGCAAATTGCTGTGAAGAGGCTTTCAACAAGCTCAGGACAAGGATTGACTGAGCTAAAAAATGAAGTAAAATTGATTGCAAAACTTCAACACCGCAATCTTGTAAAGCTTCTTGGATGTTGCCTTGAAGGAGAGGAAAAAATGTTGGTTTATGAATACATGCCAAATGGGAGCCTGGACTCATTTATTTTTGGTATGGATCGAAGGAATTGTTTATTTAAATGGTTAAGATTGGTTTCATGATTTTGGTATCCCTCAACACCTTTTCACACCAAGCCTCTTTTACTGCATATAATAAAATTGATAACTTTTATAATGATGAAAATCTGGCAGATCAGCAAAAAAGTGAATTACTAGACTGGTCAAAGCGGTTCCACATTATATGCGGAATTGCTAAAGGACTTCTGTATCTGCATCAAGATTCCAGACTAAGGATTATTCACAGGGATCTCAAAGCAAGCAATGTTTTACTTGATAATGAGTTGAACCCCAAAATTTCAGACTTTGGCATGGCAAGAATTTTTGGAAGAGATCAGAACGAAGGAAACACAAAGAGAATAGTTGGAACTTAGTAAGTGAATAATTGTTTTTCCAATCAAGCTGAATTCATACATTTATTTTCTTAGTTAAGAGTTTCATTTCGAAATGTGTTGTGCAGTGGTTATATGGCACCAGAATATGCAACTGATGGGTTATTTTCAGTAAAATCTGATGTTTTCAGCTTTGGAGTGTTATTGCTAGAGATTATATCTGGAAAGAGAAGTAGAGGGTATTATAATCAGAACCACAGTCATAATCTCATAGGCCATGTAAGTATTGAGAGGCAAATTGTTAATTCATTTTTATCAGACAGAAAGTGCATCCTGTATGACTAGCCTAAATTAATGTGTTGTAGGCATGGAAACTTTGGAAGGACGGAAGACCACTAGAACTGATTGATAAAAGCCTAGTAGACTCTTGTTTTGAGTCACAAATGTTGCATTGCATTCATGTTAGTCTCTTGTGTGTTCAACAGCATCCAGAGGATAGGCCTGGAATGTCATGTGTGCTCCTAATGTTAGTGAGTGAGTTTGAATTGCCTGAGCCAAAACAGCCAGGATTCTTTGGAAAATATTCAGATGAAGCAGACTCATTCACAAGTAAGCAGCAACTAAGTTCAGCAAATGAAATAACCATTACCTTATTAGAAGCTCGTTGATATTCTTTGCAAGGCACATCCATGTCGATGTTGTATATATGCACAATATTTTATTAGAAATTAACTTATGATCAAGGACTACGCTCTCTCACTCTCTCCCTCCTTTCTTTCTTTTGTGTGAAGTAGTGATTAAACATACTAAAAAAGAGAAAATTAAAAGATTGGATATGTGTGAAGATCTGCAAAAAGGGCCACAAAAGTAACCAAGAAACCTAATTTTGGTCTCATACATTACTTTCCATACTAAGCCAAACTCTTGCATCTAAGTCAATAATACCATGAATTCTCCTCTGTAGCCGACTACTCTTTGTTGAAGATAACAACTAATTAACATCAGGTATTCACTTATTCATCATTTTAATTTTTATTCTTTTTTTATTCGTCAAAAGAACAAATGATTAAAAATTAGCTGGGTTGAGATACACAAGCTGCCATGCTTCAAAATCTCTAAGCTTTTTTAAACCATGCTAGAAAAACTCCAAAATCAAGTTCACTAATCCTTAAGTAGAAAAAACTATATATTTGGACACTCTCAGTATTTGTTTGCATTAACTAATTTTTATAGTAAAAAAATTACATAATTTTTTAAAAGAATTTTTGCAAAAAAAATTATTTCATCTGAAATTAGTATTTTCAAACGTCTCGAAATGAAGCTATCCTGCAAAATCCATTATTGAGAATTAACTTCTGGATTTGCTATTTGATGAAATTTCTTAGTGTAGAAAATCACATCAAGCTTTTGTTGGGCTGGTTTTGTATGAGTTAAACTGAGTTGAAAAAAGTGCAAGAGAATCACTAACACTCGGGAAAATCATCTGTCCTCATAAGCTATGCATGAGATCATTGAGAAGTTGTATTTAGTGTGCGCTAACTTGGATTCATATTTGCAAACTCATATCCTTCAACAGGTAAATACTCAGTGAACCTCTAAGGCAATTTATAAAAATGAAAAAGGAATGAGAAGTGAAAATAAAAACACATTAAGGGGGAAATAAGCCTCAGTTATTTTAGCAACTTAAATTTTCAAAAAATGAGGTTTGGCCATTTGGGCTTCAACAGTGTGTAACACCAAGGGACAAAATGAATTTTTCCAAAAGAATGTTTTGGTTAGTTGAGTTTTGAGTGAGACCCTATCACCCCATTTAACGCCAATGGAACCCATCCCATAGTCTGCTTAAAATTCAGAGCAATAGAAAAACATTAGGTAGGGAGCATCTAACAGTTTGGCTGCATAGAAAGTCACATTCCCATCACAGCTTTGTATAAAGCTAAATCCAACTAAATGGTAGGATAAGATAGATTAGTATCCTCTTCTCTATCCTATTTGCTCAATCTCCAGAAAACTTCCCCTTGCTTTAACCGGGCCTACAATTTCTTATCCTCATAATTACCTAAAATGTGACTTCAAAAAGAATGAATAGACTAGAAATTTTAACAATTTTCCCCCCCCTTGATAAACAAAATGATGTAGAAATACTAGAGCTTTCATTATGAAAAAGCAATTTAAAAGGTGAACACTTGTCACTTGTCAACTTTCATCAACCTGCATGCTTAGCAACGACGCCATTTACTTGTTCAGTTCTCTCATGCCCTTTACAGTTAATTCTTTTGAATTTCTTGTAAGCTGAAATCCAAACTACAACCCCCATGTCCACACGTTAAAACATGGCCCAAAAATTGACTAGCATCCCAGAAAATCAAGTTAGCTGGCAAGAACAAATAAAGAAAAAAGAGAGAGAATCTAGAATTGTGGACCACAATATGTTGAGGGGCAAAAAGTCTCCACTAGGATGCTGTCTTTGTCGTGTAGAATTAGGTGTTATCCATCTTTCAAGGGTCCAATCCAATCATAAATTCCCCAAGATCTTAGGTAATTTTATCCACACCTTAGGTACATAAACAAATATATTTACATTGCACTTAAAGCAACTTATTATTTACAGTTTTATTTTGCATTGTGGAATGAATTAAGGTTAACCTATATATGAATTCAATTAACCCATATATGAACAAACCCTGAAGATTATTATTGCTTACGAGGAATTTGGGGTAAATATGCAGTTGCTTTGGTCAAAAGATTCCCGGGTTGATTCCTTCTCTGTTATTGAGTAATCTGATGCATTATAGAGAATATTTGACTGTGTGAATAAATTGCTCCAAACTAAGAATATTTAGACGTACGTATTAAGAAAATGCTACTTTTCTGTAACCGAAAGTATGCAATTTTTTTGAAAATTCAATCAAATGTGTTAGATTTTCTACAAGGATGCATGTATCGAACACCAACAGTTAAAACTAGAGTAACTGTTCTTTTTTTATATCATCGCAACAATTTCTACAACAAAAAGAGAGGCAAGAAGTGAAGAGAAATAAGTATAAGATAAGATGGGTAATGTAATGAATAGATGGAGAACAAATATTGTAAAGATGTTTTATAAAATTGTAAAGTGGAGATAACATTATTCTTAAAATTATTTATACTTTCATAACAGAAAAAAAAGATTAATTAAAATATAAATTTTTTTAAGAATCAAACTTGAATAATCAAAATATTAATTATAAGGAATAATTGTGTATTGAAAAAACATAATCATAAAAAATTGAGTTTATTTGATTTCTTAATTAATATCCTTTAAACCTTTTTCCTGAATGTCACAAGAGTAAAAGGATAGAGCTATGATGAGCCACCTCAATAAACTATGTCGGCACGTTTAGTTAGTATGACAATGAATAAGTAAAATCAAGTTTGACTATATTCACATAACGTGCAAAGAAAAATAACTCACATACTAGAAAGCGTATAAAGTAAGAGCATGGGAATAGCTATGTTTAGCCTTAAGGCTCTCCTTGCATGTTTGATTCAATACATTTTAACAAGATAAATTCTATGACTACTCAATATATTTAGAATAGGTTATTCAATTAAGTAAGGAATAGAAAGAAAATAGAAAAGAAGGAGAGGAAAAAAATAGTTATAAAAAATATTATATAGTATATTATATGAATAACATTCCTCTTTGAAAACCGATGACCATGGTAAAGAGATGGGTAAGTGGCAAAACAGTAAACTTTGTGGAGAAGCAACCATATGACTTGGAAGTTTGAACAATATCTTGATGACATTGAATCCGTGAAGCAAAAGCCAATTTTCATCTTTGTGTATATGGCTTGTGACCCTTTTGTGTAGGAATTATGAAGCAAGATAACACCATAATAATAATCCTAATAATAATAATGGCACCATGGTCGGTTTCTGATATTATCTAAGGGAAGGGAAAGGGACTGCCATCTTTTCTTATATGGTCCTCTCTCAATGTGGAATTGTGAACTGTGAAGGAAAAGTTGCCTTCTCCTTTTCACCTGCAACACATGCAAAACTTGAAATATCATATTCCTACAACAAAATATATATAACAATTTATACAAACAAGAAAGATATAGAAAAAAATACGAAAAAATGAAGAGAAATATAGAATATATAAGATGAATGATATAATAAAGAAATAACAAAAATATGAATTGTTATATAACTTGATTGTAAGAATATAATTTGTACTGCTTAAAGCGTGAGACTCATCATGCTAGAGAGAGGTTCAAGTACATTTTTCAAGTTCATTGATGATGTAAAGCAAATCAGTGTAACACGTTGTTGGGTGAGTTGAGAGAGTTTTAACTAGCACCGTGGTAACAATATGATGACGCTGGACCAATATTGGAGACTTTGCCACCAAATCTTGAAGACAAAATAAAGTTAAATGTAAATGTCTCATTATTTTATTGACCATAAATTGGCCACGACGTTGCCATTCCATTGAAGGAAGCCAATATTTTATGACATTCTGGACTTCTACAATACGGCATGTGCGTACAGCTAAATTTGCAATGGTTATCATCACTTTGCCGAGTAGAATATGTATTTCTTTTACTATTTTTAATTTTTGTTTAGCTCTTGTTATTCTGACAAATGTGTTTGAATAAATGATTTATTTTTTATTTAAAATATTCTTATCACGTAAAGATTTGTCGAGTAAATTTGATTATAAGATGTGTTAAAATAAATTTAAAAACTTAAACAAGCTAACGAAATTTTATATAATTAAGAAGTTATTTTTATATATTTTTAAATATATCCTAAGTTTAGAAAATAAAAAAAAGATATATATTACTGTTCATACTTAATGATTAAGGCTAAAATTTCGAATTACCACTATTTTGTTTGACAAATAAGTGCGAAACCGGATATTCATATATTTGAATTGAAATGAAGCCTTTATCAAAAACATAAAGAACACCACTGAGGAAATTATATATATATATATATATATATATATATATATATATATATATATATATCTTTTGCAATATAATCATGTTGACGTAGAACTAGCTGATGCAGCTAATCTTTTTTTCCCACCTTGGAAGTTGGAGTTAATTGACAATGGAGTTGTAATTGTAGACATGCAACCGGTTTTGGAAAACTCCACCCAAAATTGGTCAAAATTGTCAAATAAAACAGGTAAAAGATCCTAATTATTGATTTTAACTAGATACCTATTTTCTCTCCTCAATTGTTTTTTACTTCAAAGGGTGGTAAAAGATTGACCCAAAATTGCTTTTACAATAGTGATTTAAAAGATTTTAGAAAAATGGGTGAGTCATAGCCTCTAGTGTGGAGGATCTTTGGAGTGATGAGTACATTGGAATTTTGGGGAAGTGGCACATAGGACTGTTAATTTGGGTCAGCTAGCGTCATCTAATTCCTTTTGTCGATGCCAAACACCAAATTATAGAAAAGTCAAACGCCATCAACCCTATTCAGCACTTGCTGCTATTCTTTAAACACTTCCAATTTCCATCATTTTTACCACAAATCATACTCTTTGTGGACCCCAATCACATCCACGTCACAACCCATCACCACGCTTTGCATTAGACCAACCATACCAATTCAACGGCTCTGATCTCACCAACCCCATCCTTCCCGTTGCCCCACATTACTCATTGGTTTTCCTAATTCAAATACCATTAAAAACCCCATCATTAACTTTAATCTTTTTTATGCTCATTAACTCTGATCTTAAGACATGTTTGGAATCATTACTTGTGAGAAAATATTTTTTTATGCATAATTACTTTTAAAAAGATTTTGCAAAAGTGATTTTAAAAAAAATCAAACCAAGAACATACTTAATAATTCATTCTTCTTTACATTTATGTTGATAGCACGTATTTGAAGAATTTGAGTTGATTTGAAAATTTTGATTCAAAATACATCTTAAGTATAAGTTTCACTTCACTAAATTTTTCAGAAAAAAATAATCTAAATTTTAAAGTTCTTCAATTAATTTTTTATTATAATAATAAATTAATTTAAATATACCCAGTAAAACTTAAGTTCCTTTTTTTTTTTTAATGATGCGAACGGGAATGATTCTAAATTAAGCCGTTAATAGTTGTTTAAAAATTCAACATAAAAGAAATGAATCTCTTCTGTCCTTTTGTACAGTTATGAAATTGAAATCCCTAAGTTTAGTCCCTTTTTTCTGGACCATAAGTTTATACTTTTATGGATCATAACTCTATATAAGTAAAAAAAAAAAATCTATAATATGAAAATATTAGTGTTTTATGTAAAATTTAAACCTAAAATCTTATTTAAATAAATAAATTATGTACAACATGAATCAATTTCAGACGTGTATTTAATGACAAGTGATGTAATAAAAGTTTCAAAATTGACAGCTTCTAGAGTAATTGCATTAGTTCACAAAAGCCATGATAATGATGAAGTGCGTGACACCATCCTATCATCATTAATCATGTTGTAGACAACGGTGTCGTTTCACCTACCAAACATACAAAAAGGCGAAAAGCAAATCAAGAAATTAGCCGCTAATTAAATTAAAAAATAATTATTATCCTAGCCAAACTAATCAATCCAATGTGCAAGTACACATCATTATATATATATAGTTCTCCCTCTTCATTCTTCTATCGTCAACTTCTGTGCTTTGTTTAGGTGACAAAACTGATCAGAGAGAGACACGCAGAAACCTTGAAAAACTTCATCAATGGCTGTCAAAGTTTATATTGTGTATGTTTCTTCAAACTTTTTTTGTTTGTATTAATGAATTTTATATTTTTAAGGTTTATTTATCTTCTTAGTTAACTTATGAGTTTGTATTGTCCTGTCCTTGTCGTTAGTGTTGTTTTTTTTAACTCTTTTTTTTTCTTCTTCTTATGTGTTTTGCCATTCATGTTAATCAAGATGAAATTTTGTTTACTGGGTTTTCTTCATTTCTTCAAATGGGCTCTTAAATTTTGCGCCTTTTGAAAATCCACTTTTCTTCGATCTGATGCATTGATGTTCTGACCGTTGTCTTCCATATGCTGTGTGATGGAGAATTGGTTTGTTTTGTTTTGATCGTTGGAGGAAGAAGTTTCTGTTTCTTTTTTGGGTTGTTGGGAATATGTCTGAATAATGGTGTTGATTACACTGAACTGAATCCCTTTCGTAAGTTTGTTCCCTTGATATGCTTGCTGTTTGAATTGTTCTGCATTTTGTTTGGCGATAATCAGAATCATCATCCTCTGCAGAAAAGTGAATTTTAGCTTTGTTTCATTTTACTTCTCTGAGTTGAATTTTCATTGAAAAAGCTGGAAGGCAAAAGAATTAAGATACTTACAGATTCATTGTGAAGGTAATTTTGCAACGCAGGAACGTTATTCATTTCTTTTAGATTTACTGTACTGAACACTCTCAAAGCGAAAATATAAATTTCTGCTGTTTTTCATTTAGATTTCTCATCTCAGTTTGTCAACTTACAAACTAAGATCTCATACTCTGAAATTTGCTGATTGTCTTGTTACATAATCGGTAATTTGCATTAAAATCAACATTAGCACATTTATCAACCTTCGCAGAAAGCAGTAAAGCACTGATGTTAATGCCTCCATCCCAATTGCTTGATTAGTAAAAAATTTCAGTATTTTCTATACTATTTTAATTATTATGTAGAATATAGATGGCTTGTTTTAATGATGGTCTATCTTTGCCCTTGAAATGCTCAACAATTATCAATCAAACAAAGTTTCATTCACACAGTTGTAATATGTGTGAAAATCTCAAATATGTGTATGTATTTTTCATCTGTAGTCAGCATATAACATTAAGAGAATGAACTCATCAAAAAGGGAAAAGAAGATATAACAAATGAATAAGTGTTCAGTATGGCTTTAGAGATGTCTAATTGCAGTCCGAAAATCTAAAACATCGGATGTCACAAGCAAATACTAGAACAGTAGTTATTCATGATTTTGAAAACACACACCTCTCTCTGTGTGTGTATCTACAAAACATCTATGGAAACAGAACTCTCATTAGGTGTGATTTTGCCTCTTTTGTTACCTATGTGAGTATGTGACAGCTATTTTTGTTACAAAAATGTCTACATGAGAGGAGAAAATCAGATAGCAAAGTGACTTCTATATCTTTCTGTATGTTTTCTATGAGATTAATTTTATTGAGTAGACCTCTATTGGTAATGATTGTTATAATAGGGAGGAGAAAAAGGATTGCTAGTGTAAATTGATCGTCCAAATTTTTTTACTTCTAGAAGTGTATGTTGATGTCAACTGGTTGAGTTGGCACTTAATTTAGAATGGAGGGAATATAAATTAGAAAAGGGAATGGAAGTGTTTCTGTTTGGTTTTCAAATCAACTAATGCCACATGCAATTATATTTAATTATTTATACTTTTTCAAAGTCTAGATTGCAAAATTTTACCTGTTAATGCTTAAGAGCTTGTTGATATTGTGTTATGGTTTTCAAATGTTTTTGAAGTTGAATGAGAATAATAAATATGTTTCTCCTGCTCAATCACTTAGGGCCTGGTCTAATATCTAAACAGAGGTTTTGCCATGATATACTGGTTTTCATGGTTGAACTTGGACTTTTAATCCTACACTTCAGTTCAACAGCTATAATGCTTTTGTTAAAGGCTTTTTGCCTTTGTCTATTTCTTAGTTGCCTTGCTTGTTACTGGTTTTAATGAATTCAATTTCCATGGGCATGAGTGCAATTCATGTCACAGATTCCTATTGCATGCACCAAAATAGCATCTTACATGATTAGAAAATGTTGACGAGTCCTCAGTTTATCACACATAAGATCCATCTTACATGACTAGAAAATGTTGCAATAAATTTTTACCCATGCTCTATTGTTTTTGGACAAATACTGGTAAATTATAACCTTTTGTGTTTATGCTCCTTGCCGTTTGTTTTGTTGATCTGCATTACCTCTTTCTTTTATATTGTCCTGAAGAATTTTGCAGAAATTTCCCATTCATTTTCACCAATAAAGTGGATTACTGAAACATGTTTCTGCTAGCTGTAATTACAAAATGTAATTTTCTCATTGCTTTCACAGGTATTACTCCATGTATGGACATGTGGAGAAACTAGCAGAAGAAATAAAGAAAGGGGCTGCTTCTGTGGAAGGTGTTGAGGCCAAACTATGGCAGGCATGTAATTATGTTTTATTTCATAATTGTCATTTGTTGTGTATTCTGTTGTGCCGTAGCACGAAACTGCTTTATAACACTTATGCTTGATAATTGGTTTTCAAATCAATATCATTTTGCTTGCCTTCCAACTGTTACATGGTTAGTTTCAAACTTTCTGTTGGCTAAATTCCTACATTGTGACCTTGTTTTCCTGGTGTTCATGAGGTTTCAGATAACGATCTTTATTACTTGTCACCTCTAGTTCTATGGCCTCTATTTTCTTTCAAAACTATCATATGAATGCTATATAAGAGGAACTCTTCCCGTTGGTTTCCAAATAATTATTGTGTGATTAATTTTTTTATACACTATATCTAGGAAATGCAGATACAATACAACATGGATGCAAGGATACAACAAATTTTTAAAATAGTAGAACAAGACACGGATAATATATAAAATTAATCTAAAGTTAATGTAAAATAAAATGTTTTTTAAGTGAGCATAGGTTAATGTAGAAATCATAAAATGTTAAAATTTATCTAATTATTATGGTGTTTCAATTTGCATTGATTAAAAGTTAAAAAACTAAAAGTAAAATAAAAATAAAAATGCAAATACAATCAAAAGTATTTGAAGTGTCCATGCAGTATCTGACATGGATACACATCTCTGACATGGCTACAACATAAAACCCCTATTATTTAAAAGTATTTTCTGCTTCTTAGCATTATAGTCTCTTGGAGTAAGACTTCACTTCTCAAATTCATTGCTAAATCTGAGAAGGTACAAAAACATTTGTCAGTGATTTACAATCTTACTCCTTTAAAACTAGAACTTTCTGACGTTATTGAATCTGTGACAGGTACCTGAGACATTGCCTGATGAGGTGCTTGGCAAGATGAGTGCACCACCCAAGAGTGATGTACCAATCATTACCCCCAACGAGCTCTCTGAGGCTGATGGCTTCGTATTTGGCTTCCCTACAAGATTTGGAATGATGGCCGCTCAGTTTAAAGCTTTTCTAGATGCTACTGGAGGTTTATGGAGAACACAACAGCTTGCAGGCAAGCCTGCTGGAATCTTCTACAGCACTGGCTCTCAAGGTGGTGGACAAGAGACTACAGCGTAAGAGCCCTCTGAGTGCATTAGGAAGAACTTTTCTGGGGAAATATTTGCTTATTGTTCAAGTAAAATGTTAATATTAACCTTTCAAACTGATTTTAAACAACTAAAAATAGTAAATTTTTATCGAAAATTAAATTATTGCCTCAAGAATGCAAAAGTGTAATAAATATTTTTTTTTTCAATAAAAAATTACTATTAGATACTTAACATTAACCTTAAAGACTAATGTTAATAGAACTGATTTTTCAAAAGCTCTCTCACAGCTATACAAAATAAGAGTATTTTCCTCTAAACAAACAAAATCAAACGTGTCCTTGAGTGTTTGGTTTATTGCTTCATTAACAAGATGAATCAAATATTGATGTTATGAAACTTGTGGAATCCATGACAGGCTTACTGCTATCACTCAGCTGGTTCACCATGGAATGATATTTGTTCCAATCGGATATACATTCGGTGCCGGCATGTTCGAGATGGAGAAAGTGAAAGGTGGAAGTCCATATGGTGCCGGAACTTATGCCGGTGATGGCTCAAGACAGCCCAGTGAGCTTGAGTTGGAGCAAGCATTCCACCAAGGGAAGTATATTGCCACCATCACAAAGAAGCTCAAGCAAGCTGCATAATGTTGCATTCTTATAGACATACTATTATAAAACGATACCAAAATATTGCATGAAAATCATTGCCCATTTTTTAGCCTTGAAATATATTGAGTTTTATTTTTCTGTGCTTGCAAGTTTTTTTTTTTTTTTTCGATTTTCGTAAAGAAAATGTTTTGTATGCGTGTTACATGTTAAAGTGGATGTTGCAATTTGTTGAATGATGAATGTTTGCTTGTCTTGTCCTTTCGTGTTAAGCTGAAAAAAAATTTATACTTGCTCCAATTTTTTGTATTCCCCTTGCAATTAACTTTAATTCCAATGATCAAACACATAAACTAGGCATGTTTGGAAAACTTGATTTGGATACAGAGATGATTTATAGACACCGAAATAATGTCAACATTCATTCTCTGTTTCTTTCCATTTTTCTTTATTTTTAATGACATCATATTATATTTGTATACACTTTGATGAGTGTATAAATTATTTTTCTTTGGATACGTATATGTACAACAAATGCCTAAATTTGGTCGTGCTATGACTAGAAAATTTGAAGTATATATAAATGGAGAAAAATAGAAGTCAAAGTTGGAGCTGTTTTAAACCGTTATCAGCTTTGTTGATGTTAGTCATATTATTATAATTGAAACGGTGCCGAAAGCAAACGCGTTTACTTTGTCACTTGAAACAAACGGTGCTTATTTTACAATTTAGAAAGTAGTATAGCACACCATCACTCTGCAGTACACACCTTCCTATCTTTCATTATATATATGTTGTCGGTTTGGATTATATGTCCCCTAAATTCTTTAATGAAAGTGATTTGATGAGATTAGACGAGTAGTAATAGTGCCATGTGTGTGATTCATTATATATACCCTTAGTTTTTCGTTTATACAAATTTTCAAGTATGTAGAGGAAAACCAATAATTAGTTATATTTTTAAAACTTAGGTTAGGCTTTTTTTCAACCGAAAATTAAAATATATTGGCATTTTATCCGATCCTCCACTTCTTGCAGCTCTATTTGGTTAATTTTATTTTTTCATATATATATATTTTACTTAGTTACATTATAAATAAAATAAAATAGTTACGCATTGGATTAAAATAAATATATAGGTACTTACCTTTTCTATCTTATATTAAATATCATTTAGTAATTAGTACCAATGCACGAATCTTAAAAAATAAATAATTTTACTAAAATATCTTTAATAATAATTAATCGACAAAAAAAATATTCTAAATAAATAATTGTATTATTAAAATAAATAAATAAATAATACTTTTTATATTCTAAAATAATTAATAATATGAGATAAATAAAAAAAATGTTGAAATAATATATAATATGAGTAGGAGGACAATTTGATGAGACATCGCATGCAAGACAAATAGGCAGGCATGGAAAGATATATTCGGATGATAAACATTGGTCTTCCTTTCTCTCTTTTTGTTCTGAAAGAAATACAGTGCCATGTGATTCTGAGAGCATTTTCGTATTGTTGTCCATCTTCCTCCAATTTTTATTTTACCTTTTGTAATTGTATCATTAGTTTGTGTGGATGAGTTTCTACTTCTGGGTTTTGCAGCATCTTGTTCCATCATTTCATGACATAAAGTACCTGTACTCTGAGCTAGCTAAGCTACCCAGAAGCCACGCTCATGAAATTCAGCAGCATAACTTAGTTTTTTAGATTCCAATAGAACGGTCCTTTTCAAACATCATGAAGAAACCTGACATTACACATGACGCGCAGAAATACTTGGAATGGAATCTGCGTACAAGTTATATACGGGGTGTGTTTGTATAAACATATTCAAAGTCATACATCAAATAAGCTGATAAATGAATAAATGCGGATTCAATTTCCAGAAGCTACCCTGTGTAGCGGTGAAATAAATGAGTTCAAGGAATTCAAATGCTTAAAAACAAAAACACAAATAGTCTTAGCTTATAATATGGTCAATGATAAACTTAGATTATGTTCTTCTTTTGCTTATATACATATTGATTGAGTACGTATTTAATATTTATTTTTTATAAATTTTTAATTTTATTTGTTTATTTCTTTTAAACGTCGGTTAATATTTTTTATTCTTTATGACTATCGAATGATTAAATGATTAGTGGAAAAGCTAACATATATTAATTAATCATTCAAGTAATCATATTAGAAAGAGAGATTAAAATACTTAAAGCATACAAATATAAAATTAAAACTATAAAAAATTAGAAAATTAAAAAGTCATAAATACTCAGAGACTAAAATCCTTGACATGATTAAAGTGTAAAGTGAAACTAAGCGCATTTGTGTCAAGAATTGTATTAGGTGGCATAAAGAGTTGAGAAAAGGGACAAGTTTTGGAATCTTTAGACAATTGATTTATACTCCTAAATTATTTGATGATTATATTCCTTCTCTTTTTTATCCATTTAAACTTTGGTATCAATGTCTTTCGTTGTTTAGCAACCATGTTTTAGAATTATGAGACATATAAACTACTAAAAACAATGAGACGAATCTTCTTATCATGTGATTTTTTTTTTTACTTGAAATACTTGTTCACTTCAATATACAGCACGAAGGAGAATAGGGAATTTCTCTTTATAATTTGCTTTAAGTTAAATAAACAAACACAGAATGCTGAGATAACAAAAAGAAACAAATATGAATCACATATGACCCTTTCTTATTGAAGACAAATTTTGAAGAAAGTAATAAGGCTGGTAAAATAGAGTGGAGCCCCATGACAGGCTAGCTTGGTTAACATAATAATGACTAAAATTTGGATGCTCCATCTTTGCATTAAACTATGTTCAGATCTTGCTAGAGAATTAGAAAGTTAGATTTTGTAAAGTACTTATCATCAGAAGGGCGCCATCCACCTGGACTAGAACAAAATCGTTTGAAATACTCTCACCAATAGCAGCAAAGCCCTAACAGGTAAAGTTGCCATGTTTAAAGATATATACCAATCACATAGAATTTAAATTTTAAGACAATGGTCTTCTTATTCTCTTTCTGTTGTGCTCTTGTCAATGTTTTTATTATTTATTTTGTATTTAAAAAAAGAATAAAAAAAAGGAATATTAACATTGTTTTTCTCCTCATATATTAAAAAGTTAATAGGATTTGTGAATCTAAAAAACATGTAGTACTATTTGTGTAAACTAACAAATATTAAGCTTTAGTGATCAGTGATCCTTAATAGAAGATACTATTTCTCTTTAAATTAAACCTAAGGTACATTTGTATTCTTTTTCTATGTACGTGCATTTGAATTTCTTAAAGGGTATATGATTTATTTATTTATTTGAGAAAGGAAAAATAGACAATGACGGGCACATAGTGCGTACACAATGAGGACCATATGTGTCCCGATCCAGAAGTCCACAGAGATGATATAAATATTTATGAATTTCCTCTTCTTTCTACACATACTTCCAATGGAAGGCCATCTATGTGGCCATTCGGTATAAAGCACAAAAGCATGTGAAAAAGCATCTGCAAAATAAATATCTTTGTAATTAATCTTTGCTGAAAAATAAACATTTGATTTGAAAAATATTTGAAAAATCTAAAAGGGGGAGTGCGGGCCACCCTCTGACTTCCACTTACTTATTCCAAAGACATAAACAAATCAAAAGTGAGATTTCCAATCAAATGACGCATCCCTTCACTCACTCTTCTATTCTATATTTCAATGATTCTATCAAATTAAAAATATCTTTTCTCTTGATCCAAAAGTAGTGCCAGCTCTATTCACAATATAACAAAGAAGAAATTAATAAAGCTCCTTTATCTTCTTCTACTAACAACAATTTCTCCCTCTTGTTTAGTCTAAGAAGTAAGAGCTTTCCCTATATTCAGCAATTTTGTCATTCCTAATTAATCCCACTATTCTAAGCATAATTCTTCAATTATTACAAAAACTTATTGTGCTGCCAATGGTCCCAATAATGCCAAACCTTGCATAATTCTGAATGTAGTTGGCCCAACAATGCCTATCTTTTGAAGGGTCATTTCCCTTTCTTTCTCTTTCAACATATTTTTCCCCCATCACTCTTTTTATTATCTTTTTTCCACACACCCCTCTGAACTAACTAACTTTACATATTTATGTGGGCTTCCGTGTCCTCTTTCATGTTTCTCTTTTCTTTCATCATATGATTCCCAACTTGGCCAGGTGTGATAAGGTACATGCATGTCCTAGCTCTAGCTACTTGCAAAGTTTTGGTTCCGTGCCACAATTCTCCATCCATTATTATTTATTATTATTATCTTGAAGTTCCTCCGAATGTTGGTGTCCAAAAATCAACTGTGGTTTCATGAGTCACTGGAAATGTACTAGAAACCGGCACCAAGCAAAGCCCTCGGCTTCTAAGATCTTGCTTTGGACCTTCAGCTTCCTTAGATTTGCCTGAATTCTGCAACCAAAGGCAAAATAAACACTATAACTCACTAAATTTGGAAAGATGTTATCAGCATCAATGCATGAGAATCGAATCTGCTCACTCCCCTTTCCTATCTCTTTCCTTCTCCTTCCCATATGAGTAATATTTAGTTTACATTATTTTTTTTCCCACTCCTTCTAACATATCAAATCATTTTAAGATCCACAAATAAGAGGAAGAGATCGATGAAAAACAATTGCATTGCCAAAAATAAAATCATATACTAATGAGTTGTCATTAATTAGATCAGCTTTCATAATAAAATAATTTAATATGTATTATTTGTAAATAAAGTGTTAGTATTAGTATAATATACTATTAATATATACAAATCAAAATATTTACTTAATAATTCACTTTTTATTGAATAAAAATCATACAAATTGAAATAACCTTAACGCTTAACACTTATTATCCACTAGAATAAATTGCATTTTTTTCGGTGGTGTAAAACAAATATGACAAACACTAATGTGAAAAGAAAAAGGGATTCTAAGTAAAACGTAGTAAAAAGGAAAACGGACAACCATGAGAGAAAATATTGCTAAGAAAGAAGAGGGAACTTCCTTTTACTTAATGATCATTATTTAATCATAGAAACAAAGAAAGGAGTAGCATGTTTATCTCATAATGCATGACTGTTGTTATTATTATTATTATTACTACTTTTTGTTAATTTTAATCTTTAGAACTTAATTTAATATTTAAAAACAATTTTTATTAAAAATATTAATCTTATTTTTAATATAATAAATTTTTAAACACAACTCAAAGAGTTAAGAGATTAAGGTTAATAAAATTATTTTTATTATTGTTGACAGTGTATTTTAATGTAGAATATATATACACACACACTTGCGGTACCTGTTGAATCTGTACTTGAGCTCCAGTTTTCATGTACGGGGTGCTTAAAGCCTGAAGAGAAAGAACGAAAAACATATTCATAAGATGAAAGTTTTGGTATTATTTTTAGTTTTCTTATAGAGAATATATTAATGGATAATGGGACTTACAGTAACCTGTTCGTGAAGGAATTTGATGTATTCAATCGCTTCAGAGAGCACTGAGGCTGTATCAGTCTGACACAATACACAACACATTTTAAAACTTTTATCATCAATAGCCAACACCAGAATGAAAACTGCTATAATATATCCATTTTTTCTTATCACCACTTATTATATGACATAAATTCACAAATGAAATGATCATTCACTTAGTAGGGTGTAGATGATTTTATTGGAAGCCCACCTTTCCGAAAGGCGACACTAATTGTTGGAGTGCAGTGATTCTGTCCCCCATCTTCTCTTTTCTCACCTAAGAGGCAAGAAAGTAGAATAACAGGTTCATATCTATGTTTATGGATTCAATGGAAAGAAATAAAGATAAAAGATAAAAAGTTTAAAGTTTTCCCTTCTTGTTAAAAGGTTAGTTGCACTTATTGTACCTTAAAAGCTGGCAAAGGAGATGGGGTTTCGTTACGGGTCCTTTTGGGTGCTGGCTCATTCCCACTTTTCTTTACCACTGTACCCGAGTCTCTGACTTCAGATATATTCTGAAAAACCATAGCTATATCAATTAATAACTTTATACCACATCAAATGCATTGTTTCAATTCAACCCTAACATAATATTATATCATTAATATAAGGTGCTATATACATGTATCAACTCATTTCACAATTTCATATACGTATGCTAAGCTAAACTATCTTGTGTAGGATAATAATAATAATAATAATAATAATAATAATACCTTTGATTGTGCATCAAAATTTGGTGTCGAGAAGGCGGGTTGCAATGAGGGGAAAAAGCTGGAGCGAACATCTTTGATGTTTGCAGCCTCAGAAGCGTTCCAAAAGGGTGCGTTGTTAGTGAAATGCAACTGGTTATTGGGTGGTTGTTGTTTTGGAGGTGAAGTTCTCAAGAACTGAGGAACTTTAGACCAAGAAGGTATCAACTCATTAGTGTTCAATCCATAGCTTGTTGGATAAGGAAAACTCATGGTGCGATTCTCAAAGGAAGAAGCTTGTTGTTGTTGTTGTTGATTATTATTGTTGTCAGGTCCCAATAGTACTCCTTGTAATATTGAAGGGGTTCCATATAAGGCTGAAGAATCCATCTGAAAATTAGTAGTAGAGGGTAACCCTTGGCTTGTGCCAGTGCTATTCCCAGAGCTATATTGAGGACTAAACTGGTTTTGATCCAAAGAGAAACCCCTATTCACTTGCTTGAACTCATTAGTTGAAGACTCTGCAGTGAACAACTTCTCTGGCCTCCATTGAACTTGTTGAGACAACCCCATCCCAGTTTCTTGCTGAAAATTGGTTCTTGAGGACCCCAAATTATCTTGCAACATAGACCTGAAACTGTTCTCAGTACCCTTCTCTCCTCGCCTATCACCATCAAACAAACACAACAAAAAGTAAAAAAATTTAGCCCATGATTACTAATCACTCTATTCTGTTATCCTAATTTGCCATGTTATCAAGGAATAATTAACAAAGAGATATAAAAATTAAAAATGTCATTTTTTTCTTTTATTTTGGGTAGTTTTTTTCTATGCCAAAAAATTGCATGCACTTACAACAAGGATGCTTGATTCCATTCCATGGCTTGGGATGAAAGGCCCAAACCCATCATATGCAAGTTGGGGTCAGTGGAAGTGGAAGAATCTGGTGGTTGAAGCTTATTCTGTGTGTCATGGAAAACCACCGAAGAGGAATCCAAAGAAGACCTTGGTTTCATGTCTGCCATATCTGAAGCTTGTTGCCAAGCAAAAGTGCCTATGTTGGTGATGGCAGAGGAAGATGATTGTGATGCCCCACTTTCATACCTCACGTTTCTTGCTGTGTCCCACCAATTTCCACTTGCTTGAAATTGTTCATCTGCCATGGTTGACGAATCTAACAAATGTTGCGTGCTTCAGCTAGGCTTCAGTATATATCTATATAAATTATGAAAACATGTATGTTATAAATAAAAAGAAAAATTACAGTTTGATGCTATTTGTTCTATGTGTGTTATGTGAGTATGAGTTTGATAAAAATGAATGGGAAACGATTCGCTGCTTCTCATTATTTATATTAGCAGCTGAAGAGAGAAAGTGAGAAAGAGTATGAATGAATGAATGAGAAGAGTAACCGACTAACCGGATTATGGTTGACACTTTGATAATTCAAGGGGGTCATTGATACGACCCGGGAATTTAATTAAAAGGTTATTTTTTCAAATCGAATTTGGTTTATTCATTTATGTTATTATTATTATTTTTCTATCGTAGTAGCTCTTTTTTTTTCTTTTCTTTTTTTTCAGTTGTTGGCTGTCTCAGATTTCTCAATAAAATTGAAATTTTATTGAAAATGACATAACCTTCAAAGGTTAAATCATACAAATAAAATAATTAATAAAAGGTTAAGGATTTCTATGCATGATTCTATTCCTTAAATATTCCCTTTTCTTGGAAAGTAAAAATTTTCCTTTTCGTAAACTTCTGTTTTGAATCAAAAAAAAAAATGAGATTAAATTTTGATTCAATATTTAAGAGTTTACTCTCTTAAATACTTCAGGCTAGCTAATGTAAGGGGTACGCTATTAAAACTATTTGGAAAACAAAAATGTTTTTAGTGCATTATTTGGAAAATCAAATTGTTTGACAATATAATAGATATATTTAAAGAGTAAATAATAATTAAATAAACACAATCAATTACGCAAAACAGAAAATATTAAAAAATAAATAAAGATTCAAGATGTAAATCTTGAAAACAAGCTCAAAACTAAAACAGATATTTGTGTCCAAGTGTCATTGATTCTAATTGTTTATTGTTTTTCTCATACTTAAAAGTTCGAAATAGGTAGCACTTTTCTTTAGCAAATAATTGAAAAAAGAAACATGTATTATTGGACTGGCCTGGCTCATCCCAGGTTGCCTCTTCCGGGATTCTACAGATATATCCTTTACTTTGCTTTGCTTTCTTTAAATTTTTTTGCTGAGTATAAGATCGCAATTTTTTTTTACAAGGATTCTATTAATTGTACTTTACTTATCATTATGATCATAGCGTTAACTTTTTACTAAATCAGTCCTTCAAATCAATACGCATTAATTATTAACGTCAGCTCTCTAAAATTTTAATCGTCGATGATTAAAAAAAAAAACAACACTATCATATTAAATATCTAAAATTTTCATCAAAATATATTTTAGAAATAAAAAAAAAATATCATCATATTTACTTTTACAGAGGATTGAAATGGTGAAACAAACAAATTTTTAAAGGATTAAATTAATAATAAACTAATAAGTCTTTGATGAATTAATTTAGTAAAAAACTTTAAATAACACAATAATGTAGTAGATTTTTAAAATGTTGATTTAATAACTAAAATTTTGAAGAAAAAAAAATAACAAGTATATTTTAAAGTACTGAGTCCAAAGTTTACTCTAACTTTTATTGATGTACATATATACTTTATCACGAAAAAAGCTTGATATATAGCTATTTGACAAAAGTGATGAACTCTGTTCATTACTTCTTTTGGCAAAATCAAATTATATTGCGAAAAAAAACAAAAGGAAAAAAGTTAAGACGCTCTTGCCAATGATTATTTCCTGCAATGCCAGTCTACTTTTCCTCCTTTGTTTTTTTCCCTCTTAATAGCATTTTTGTTATGCATTTCAGTAACGGTAATCAAGCATACTCAAACGATAACTTCTGCAATTACATGTTTCAAATTTATAGACATTTTTAAAAATCTCTGGTGAAAATCTAAAGTTCAAAGAGTTGATATTTTATCACATAGATATCAATATGAAACATTGATAAGAGTCCTAAAAGAAAAAGTCTTCATATTTAGGTATCATCAATTACAAAAAATTAAATAAATAAACTTAGTTTGTCGCTTATCAATTTGAAAATGCTGCTTGTGGAAAAATAAAAACCATTGACTTCATCAATGAGATAAGAGTTGGCTAAATTAGTATGGATTGATGTAAGAAAAGGTCTTCAATTTTATTTTTGCTGGTCAATGCTTCTGAATTAAGTCATTTATAAGTATATATTGTTAGGCCCGTGTATTTCTTTAATCTTAAAACCAGTCAATTTTTTTTCTGTTGTTGAACATTAAAATAAGAATATCTTGACCCATAAATGCTTTGCATGATGACCAACTTGAATTAATACATGCAAAGATGAAAAGAGGTCACGCTTTAAGCAGGTTTGGACTGTTTTTCAAATGCAAAGAACACGAAGTTTAGGCATGAATACTTGATAAAGATGTTTTTTAAATTTAACCAACCCTTTTTTAAAAATTTAACAGGCGTAATAGTGTATTTTGCATTAAGGTCTACAAATATACGTGTTGACCTAACCCGAGTCTTTATTAGATAAATCAGAACATTATTACATAAAAGAAAATTTATTTCAAGGTGTTGAAGAGTTACTTGCTATGATTAATTGGTAGTTATTTTTCTGGTATTCTGTCAAAAGATTTTACATGACATTCATCATGTATCTGTATATATAAACACATAATACAAGTGAGTCCATTTGTTTTGTCGGTTTAATTTCATAATACAGGATCTAAAGCTAATTAAGCTTGGACAATCAAAGGTTAAGGATCCTGTCAAACGATGGATGAACAATTGGAGCTTGAAGGTGCTCAACATCACTGTGTTTTGGTGGCGTACGTTGGGTGCACTGAACTAGAGAGTAGTTCATAGGCATGAATTTATTAAATGTATAGTAATGATATCATACTAGATAACTAGAAAATATGCACGAAAGTTGCACAGTTTGTTTTTTTATTAAATTAATTTATTTTAAAATATATAATTTAAATGTAAAAATATATAAATATAATAAAAAATTTATTTGTCAAAATAATTATTATTTAATATTATTTAAAATATGTATAATTTAATATTTCTTAGCATAAACTAAAATAACATACAAATATCTTATTTTTAAAATATAAAAATAAAATTTATATTGTTCCATCATATCATAAATTATTTATTATTATAAAATTTTAAATAAATAATTATAACAATAAATTGTTAAATATAATAAATTTGTTAATATACATTATAAAATTTAAATAAAAGGCCTTATAATTTTTTATTTATATATTTGTTTATATTTGTTGAATTAAATTTATATGATAAACTATCTATTTATAATTATAATTTAAAATTATTAATAAAATTTTATTATACAATTATTAAAATATTATATCATATTTTTTAAAAATAACTTATCAGACTAATATATAAAAAATAAAGTATTTATTTAACTAATATATGAAATTTTAAAAATTTGCTTTGAATATTAATATACACAAAACTATATGTTAATATTTAAAAATAAAAATATATTAAACTTTTTATACATATAAATAAAATTACCATAAAAATATATTGTAAATAAAAATTAATAATAATCTAATATATATACTGAATTTAGAAGTTTACTTTTTGATATAAAAAAATATAGAATTTAGTTTTTTTTAAATTATTAAATTATTTTATATTTTTTGATAACTTAATAGAATCAATATTGATTGGCATTATAAATAAATTAATTTTATTTAATACATATTTAAGTACAATAAAATTATGTTATTAATATTATAAATATAAAATAATAAATTTATTAATTTTTCTTATATAATTATTTTTTAATTTTTAAAAAAAATTAATACAGTTTGTTTATTATTTATCATTTTAATTAAGAATTAATAAAAATAAATATATCTATAAACTAATTTAATGATAAAATAATATTTTAAAAATTTTATTAAAAGAACAAATATTAATTTAAATAAAATTTAAAAAATAAATTTAAAATACTATATAAAAGAAAACATATAAATTGAACTAAAAATAAGTAAATAAAAAATATATATTACTGTTAGGTCTCAAATTATTTTAAAGATATATAAATATAATTTTAATATAAATATATTAAAATATTATATTGCCATTAAAAAAATAGATATATTCTAACCATTTTGATGCATACATAGTAAATTAAAGATTTGATTTTTATTCTCAGATATATTTTTTTTGTTTATCTTTCTCATACATTAACTAATTCTACAAAAAGATGTTAATATTTAATGAATCTGATTTATTTTTTTAATTAAAAAATGTATAATTTTAAGAATATAATATAATAAATAATTATATTAATAAAAAAATATTTGTACTAATTTTATATTTTTAAGTATAATATTTGTACTTTGATTTATATCTTGAAAACTAATTATAAATTTACAAAATGACTAAATTTTTTCATTAAGAAACACTTTTCTTTGCGCTTATAATTGAATGTTATCATAAAAAAACTTTAAAAGCATTAAAATTTATATTCCAATTTAAAATTTTTAAATAATCATATAGTTAGAATATGAAATTCTAATAAATAAATATAATTTGATATTTTAATATAAAAAATATTTTTATAACATTTTAAACACTAACTTCTATTTTTTTTGAATTTACAGTCTTTTAATAGTTGTAAAGCTTTAGACTTCATACTCATAAATTTTGAAATAAATGATATATATAAAAATTAAATATAATATTTGAACTTAATTTAAAGTTAAAACGTTATATTTTCTTTATTTATTCATTCATTATGTTATAATATTATTAAATATGAAAATAAAACAGTTAAATCATATTCATTTTCATTGTTATGATATTTAATAATTTTTAATTTATTTCAATTATTATAATTAATTAATTTTAATTGAAGAATTTTAAATTTATCATCATCATTATAGCATTTTATAAAAAAAATATTGCAACAAAATCATTAAGTATGAATATTGTTAATTTTTTTAATTTAAAAAAATTAAATTTCTTATCATAATTATTATAATATAAAATATAAATAAAATAATGTCTATGTTAATAGGTTATACA